GGTTTTTACATAACTGCCCAAAATGGAGTGTCGTTTACCTACCACATACACCTTGGTACACACTAAAAAAAATCGGGAATAATAATAAAATGGTATATAAGTTTTCGAAAAAGGAATTGATTGTTTCTCAAAATATTGCTCTTAGCTCTAATGCACTATTTCATACGAATTAAAAAATCTGGAGCGTAAAAACAAAATAAAAACGATACCCAGTCGGAACAAAGATCTTCATTGAAATTGTTTCTTATAGGTGTCCTGCGGTTTCACCCGCTTTAATTTTAGGAAAAAAAATTATAGTGGATTACTTGTAAAATAAACATGCTCTTATGAACTTTTTATAGAACTTTTAAAGGGGAACAATTCCGTCATACAGGATTTTTGTGTAACTTTTATCGTTTATGCAGCGCACGCAACATAAGCTCGCAAAAGGAATATTTTTTCCCGTTTTTGCAACATTTTTCATTGGTGCTCCGTTCCTATTAATCGTAGTAGCGTTATTTTATATATAGCTTTTCATCCATGCACTATCCAACATAAAAATAATTTTTCATATCGGACCACTGGTCCGAGATTTGTGCGTTCAACCAAACAATTTAACTCTTCAGTTTTATAATATTAGTATAGATAGCAAGCTTGACAATATCGACGAACTCCGACCTTATTACTGTCATATTTTTTGTAGTGTGTTAGGTGGTATGATGCCATCTGAAAACATTTATCCTCATTCCTCCGTGCTTTTTTTCGAATTTTAAGATGGCTTCTTTTTAAGGTAAGCTATGTATAAAATTTCCCACGAGATATCAATGGGTATTGATTGGTATTGTCACAAACGCTCTCGAAACGTAACCGCGAAAGTGCCAGACATCGAATTTGCCAGATCACCGCGGGTCGCGATAGAGGTCGAGTAATGCGGCTCATTCTAAAATGAGCCTTATGCAGTGCGGCGTAAGGGAGAAAGTGCAACGATATCTGCACTAGTTTACAAGTTATGCGCGTTACCTGCGTAGGTATAAGTAGGTACTTTGTACTAGCAACACTGCGATACAGTTATGGAAGAACACTGTCATCGGACGATGATGCGCAGGTGTAGACTACATGAGAAGAACTCAAGAATGCTTTAGAGAACCAGCTTCAACGAGGCACATGAATCCGTTACCGGAGAAAATGAAGACAAGTTTGCTACCTAACTTGTATAATGAAGCCAAGCAATTAATATTAGACTACAAGGACATCTTTTCAAACGGAGAAAATGACCTTGGGAGGACTGGCCTTGTCAAGCATTCAATCTACATCGGTGATACACACAGCCTATCAAACAAAGACCTAGACGAGTGCCTGTGGCAAGAGAACAGGAAGTAGCGGACATGATTGAGAAGATGTCACGTGATAAGATCATCGAACAATCAACTAGCCCCTGGTCTTCTCCAGTAGTATTGGTGAAGAAGAAAGACGGCAGCACCAGGATCTGCGTGGACTTCAGGATGCTCAATAATGTGACCAAGAAGGACAGCTATCCATTGCCTCGTATTGACGACACATTGGACATGTTGGGAGGCATGAAGTGGTTCTCCACAGTTGACAGTTTCGGGTCATGCCCTTCGGATTGTGCAACGCACCAGCCACTTTTGAATGACTCATGGAACGTGTGCTAGTGGGGCTATTGGGGGATGCTTGTCTGGTGTACCTGGACGATGTGATCGTGATGGGACGCAGCTTCACGGAACACTGGAGGAATCTAGAGAAAGTATTCAGAAGATTCCGCGAGTCAAACCTGAAGCTCAATCCAGAAAAGTGCGCGTTCTTCAAGAAAGAGATAGCCTTCTTGGGGCACATAATATCCGACAAGGGTGTCCAAACTGATCCTGAAAAGGTAAAAGCTGTGCAGGAATGGCCAACACCGAGAAATAAGACTGAAGTGAGAGCTTTTCTAGGCCTATGTGAGTACTACCGCAGATTTGTGAAGAACTTCTCTGAGATAGCCAGGCCATTACATTGTCTAACGGAAGAGAAGAGAAACTTCGTTTGGGACACAGATTTCCAGCGTTCTTTCACGAAGTTAAAGGATTTACTTTGTTCTGCACCAATTCTAAGCTATCCACGAAGAGAGGGAAGATTCATTGTGGATACTGATGCTAGTAATACTGGAATCGGTGGAATACTGTCACAAGAACAAAATTGACAACAAGCTGTTATCGCTTACTTCAGCAAGTCTCTTTCAAAGCAAGAGAGAAATTATTGTGTAACTCGACGCGAACTTCTAGCAGTTGTAAAGACCCTACAACACTTCAATAAGTACTTGCTGGGAAGAGAGTTCACTCTGCGTACAGACCATGCAGCACTTAAATGGTTACTCCAGTTCAAGAACCCTGAGGATCAAGTGGCGAGATCGATCGAACAGCTGCAAGAATTCAACTTCGCAATAGAACACCGAAGCGGAAAGGCGCACGCCAATGCGGATGCATTATCAAGGCGGCCTTGTGCTGAAGATTGTAAGTACTGCTTAAAATGCGAGTGCAAAGACGAAGTGAAGGTTATAAGGGCTCAAGAATTGGATGAATCCTGGAGTAAAGCTGAAATATCTCGGGCGCAGAAGGAAGACAAGGACCTGCAGCTGATAATGAAGGGGAAAAGTGAAGGACGGAAACCATCATGGAGTGACATATCAGCTTCAAGCCCAATCACGAAGGCATACTGGGCCCAATGGGATAGTCTTCTGCTACAAGAAGACGTGCTGTATCGGAAATGGGAGTCACCAAATGGTAAGGATCAGACTCTACAAACGGTGGTCTCTAGGTGCAAAGTGTCCCAGGTTTTAAGGCATGTGCACGATGGTACATGTGGTGGACACTTGGGAATAAGAAAGACCTTGGTGAAAGTGAGGGAACGCTTCTACTGGATGCGCTGTCGAGAAGATGTCGAGGACTGGTGCAGGAATGTAATGTTTGCGCCTCGGTCAAAGGGCCTCGTACTAGATCCAAGGGGAAGATGCAGCTTTACCAGGTCGGCGCTCCTTGGGAAAGAATTGCCATTGACGGCGCTGGGCCTTTTCCACAAACAGAAGATAGAAACCGATACATTGTGGTGGTTCAAGATTATTTCACCAAATGGCCCGAAGTATTTGCTACACCAAACCAGGAGGCTCAGACCGTCGCCAAGAGGCTTGTTGAAGAAGTAGTGTGCCGATTCGGCGTTCCGTTGGAATTACACAGCGATCAAGGAAGGAATTTTGAGTTCAACTTATTCCAGGAGATGTGCAATTTACTCGGAATAAATAAGACGCGTACGACTCCGGCACACCCACAATCCGACGGCATGGTAGAAAGATTCAACCAGACTTTGGAAAATCATTTGGCGAAGGTCGTAGAAGAACATCAACGGGACTGGATTCCGCTCTTTCTGATGGCGTACCGGTCCGCAGCGCATGACACCACTGGATTCACTCCATCGAAAATCAACTTCGGAAGAGAGATGCGCTTACCCGTGGAACTACTTACCGGAACACCTCCTGCTGCCTCCAAATCAGTAGTAGAGTACGTCGCAGAGCTGCAAAGAAGATTGAACGAAACGCACGACCTCGTGCGTGAAAATAACCTGAAATCTGGCGAGAAAATGATAAGCAGGTATGATCGGAATGCCGACGCTCGAGGCTTCGTGGAGGGAGAGCTCGTTTGGTTGCACAACTCACAGAAAAGGATTGGCAAGTCCCCAAAGCTTCAGCCCCGCTGGGAAGGACCCTATAAAGTGATTACGAAAATCAACGACGTGACCTATCGGATAAGACAGGGAGATAGGAAGAAGCCCAAGATAATCCACATCGATCGCCTGGCACCTTACCACGGCAGCAATGATGCTCGGGTCGAGTAATGCGGCTCATTCTAAAATGAGCCTTATGCAGTGCGGCGTAAGGGAGAAAGTGCAACGACATCTGCACTTGTTTACAAGTTATGCGCGTTACCTGCGTAGGTATAAGTAGGTACTTTGTACTCGGGGGTGCAAGGTAATTCTCAATTTAACAGGTACTTTCTAGAATGCGTCGATCGGCGTATATAAGCGCGATTGGCGCCGCGCAGAGACAGTTGAGTTTCAACAGCGATTTCAGAGCGAATCCAAAGGCGATCCAAGTGCAACAAAAGTGTTCAAGTGAGATTGTTTAGAGACTTGTATAGTGGAATACAGTGTTTAATGAGTGTTCTGTTATTAACATTGTGTATTAATTGTGTGGTGAATAAAGTACTGTCAAGCGTGAACTGGCATATAAATTCGAACCGCATCCCGACACGTAACAGTATAGTAAGAAATGTTGTGTTGGACATCTACGTAGCCAATTCAGGGGCTCGTCGTGCGAAATTAAAATTATTTATTTATTTATTTTAGGAGTCTTGTTTTTATTTCATCCTGTGACTTTATAATTAACCATCGTCTGAATTTACACTATAATATTAATACCTAGGAAGGAAGTAGGAAAAATAAAATAATAAATGCCCATAGCACTATTTGTTAATCTGGAACAAAAGGAAAGAACTTAATAAATACTTCATTAATACGATCGGAATGCTTCTTTTTGGCTTTACCCTATTAAAGATTAAAGGAAAACGTTACAATTATTACTATAATGAGAACATGATTTTTATTTAAATAATATTACATGTAGATACTAATATTATATAAGGTGTACATAATGAAGAAGCTCGATGGCGTAACTAGTTAGCACGTGCAGTTTGTGATGTGTGGCAGTTAAGCAATTTTCACAGTGGCTGGTTATAGGATGGGCGACCAAGAATTTACTGTCCCGAGCTACTCCTTGCTTTAGAATGCACATTAATCCATTGATCCCGACTGCCTCTGCAGTCGTAAGTACCATTCAATCAGACCTGGGCTCGTCCATCCAAAGGGAAGGTATGTGTCCCAGTGGGACCATAATTGGCTGATTATGCTGTAATACATAGATAGAAACGTGACAAAAGACATAAATTCTAACCGCATTCCGTTATTTCGACCAGGTCACCGAAGAGTAAAAACGTCGAAGAGGACTATGAGAGCGAAGCCCTAAAGTCCGACGCTGAACCGGAGACAAGCGAGTGCAAAGATGGCACTGCGCTGGAGGCCAAAATGTCCCTGCTCAACGGCATCACCGTCATCGTGGGCTCCATTATCGGCAGCGGCATCTTCGTGTCGCCGACGGGTGTGCTCAAATACACGGGCTCCGTCAACGCCAGCCTGCTGGTGTGGATAGCATCCGGAGTATTTAGTATGGTCAGTATAAACTTAATGCTAAAAGATTTATTTGTTACGGTTAAGGAGCTCGACGGCCCAGGACGTTCGCGTGATCAGGCTTCGGTCTTGGAAGTTAAGCAGCTTTCGCAAGGTCAGTCAGGATGATACGGCATTACCGACATAGTGAGCTCCATCATTGGCAGCGGCATCTTCTTGTCAACGACGGGCGTGCTTAAATACACGGGCACCGTCAACGCCAGCCTGCAGCCGCTAGTGTGGATAGCACCCAGAGTATTTAGAATAGTTTAAACTTTTTGCTAAAAGATTCGTTTGTGGAGATAGACGGCACAGAGTGTTCGCGCGGTCGGTCTTCGGACATGGTAGTTAAGCAACTTTCACATAGACAGTCATTGTATGCTACGGCATCACCGACATCGTAGGCTATATCATCGGCAGCGACATGTTTGTCTCTCCGACGGGAATGCATAACTGTTCAAGTATACCGGCTTCGTCAACGCCAGCCTGCTGGTGCGGATAGCAAAGAGAGGTACTTTATGATGCTTTCTTTGATGCCTAAAGATTTGTTAGTTGTGGATTGGGTAGTGCGATGGCCCTGTGCTTTTGTGTGTTCGGTCTTTGATCATTAAAAGTTAAGGAACTATGGGTGACCAAAAAAAAATATCTGGAGTTCCTATATATGCTTAAAATAAATGAATGTATAAATTAAGCATATAATTAACATGTAATCTCGCTATTTTGAAGACCCCGGTGGCTTTTTGCCGATCTTTCGGCATAAAGAAACTAACGAAATTTATTGTCACTTTGATTTAGTTTGTTTTGTTATCAGGAGTATTGTGTTCAGTCAACCGGCCTGTCTGTCTGATAATGAATGTGTCATTTAAACAGAGTTTGAATTCAATATTGGAATGATGGATGTAAATTACTAACGACGATTCAATTTTATTTACAAAGCTTGGTAAAAGTACAATTTCTTTTTATAAAAATCAATACCGTAATGTAACAGCGTCACGCTGTAGTTAGTAGGTATTTTCGCCATAGTTTAATATTAAAAATACGCCATACTATAATCTACAGTCATCAGCATTTCTAATAGTTACTACTGTATTCTCAATGATAAGAGAATAATAATAAATATTATTAATAATAATAATATATATTCTTCTCTAGCTGTTACCCGCGACTTCGTCCGCGTGAAATAGTATCTTTGGGTAGCATTTTTAATTATTTAATAAGAATCATCACCTACTGTACAGTAGGTATATTTAAAAAAAATATACAATATTTGTTTACAATAGGTATAAGGTACCTATGTATTCCATTGAGTGGCAGAAAGTACCTAGGAAAATGTATTGGTCCCTTATGTCCAAGAGACACTTACAGGGGCCAGCGTCACGTTGTGTACAAAAATATTTTAAAATGACCTAATTTAAAACATTTTTGTACACAACGTTTGCTGTTTTGTTATTATTTGTTAAAATGTGGAGATTGTTTGGACTCGACACTCGCGAGCAGGCAACGTACAGTTGGCCATGCGAAAAACAGTTTTTCTCTAAATTGACACCTGCTACTTTAAGTGTTTGCCCTTGCGTCATTGCGAAGGCTGGTTTGAGGGGAAACTCGATTCTTTTTAAACTGAAAAGGTAAATCTGTAGGGATCATGGGTATGCGGGGAATCAAAACTTCTTCATCTTTAGCTATTCCTGTCATTATAATTGCTCTAATAATATTGCGTCCTAGCTGCGTAATTTGCAATCGAGTCCCGTTGCATAGTCTCGGCGCTTCGAGATTTCTCATTAACAAAACTGGAACCCCAATTTTCAGTCTCAGCTTATGTGCCGGCACTCCTGACAGCTCTAAAGAGCTTAGAAACTCTGTAGGATAAGATGTCACCTGTTCACTGTCCATGACAATATCTACTGACAAATATTCGACAACATCGCCTTGCACATGTGACATAATTTGTTCATTGATCTGTCCCACGATTTCATTGGCCGGTGCTAATATTGCCCTTTCACACAGCCACTCTCTATTCCTCATGTTATATTCCAAACCGTGATAGACGTTGTTTTTAAGATCTTCCAAGTTGTGGACAGCATTACAAAATTCTTGATTTAATGTAATCATGCCGTTAGCGTCCGTAGTCATTCGACCTTCATCGATTTTCAATAGAGCAGCTGCATATTGCCCCGATGGCGTATCATTATGTAGTTGTACTCGCATGTTTTTAGTGAGACAAAATTTTTTTACATGCATCCATAATGTAGACGCCTTTAAACATGCATTTATCTCATCTGCTGGAGTGCCTCTGGTAATCACAGGTAGTGTCTGTCGAAAATCACCAGCAAGCAGCACTACCATCTCACCCATTAAACTCTGGTTGCTTCTGATATCTTAGCATCGATCGCTTTTTTATGCGACATTGTGCACTCATCCCACACCAACAGCTTGCATTGCTGTAGCATTCGGCCACGATCGCTGTTTTTTGTAATGTTACAAACTGGAATTTCCTCATGAGGTAAATTTAATGGGAGTTTAAGTACTGAATGTGCCGTGCGGCCTCCATCGAGCAGCGTCGCCGCAATTCCAGAGGAAGCTACGGCAACAGCTCTATTTCTTTGTCTTTGCGGATTTGGGCTAAAAGTAAATTTAATAGAAAAACTTTTTCCAGTCCCTCCTTGCGCATCTAAGAAAAACAATACGCCCTCACCATTATCGATTCTATGCACAACAATATCAAAGACTAATTTTTGTTCCGTGTTCAATCGAGGAACAGACTCTGATATTTGTTGCTGTAAAGAAGAGACATTGTAGTCCAGTTCTCTTATTAAATCACTACTGACTTCTCTGATTCTTTGTGGCCGGTTCATTCCAAAATCTGATAATGTCTTCCCAGGTATAGCCATCACTTGGTCTTCAATCTTCGGTCGACCGACGGCAGCGGCGGCGATGCAGAGTATTCGTGAAAAGGAACTTTAACTTCAAAAGCGAAATTTTTTTTAACTTGATACACCCAAAACTTCTAAATATCATGTTCCTAGGTTCAGTGGTTAAGATTTTGTATACAAAAAGTTTGGCTTCGTAGTTCCCAATCCCATACAACTTTTCACCCCCCCTTTTAACCCCTTACAACCCCCTTTTCGCAATAAAAAGTAGCCTATGTCCTTTCTCAGGGTCTAGACCATCTGTATACCAAATTTTATTCAAATCCGTTCAGTAGTTTTGGCGTGAAAGAGTAACAGACAGACAGAGTTACTTTCGCATTTATAATATTTATTTTATATATTTTATTAATTTCTTTCTTGAAAATGGAATAAGAAAAACGGACTATGGATACACCAGATTCGCGGGTTGTGTACTTGTAGGTGCTAACGTCTGCAGTACCCCAAACACGAACTTTGGCAGATCCGTAATCGTATCGCCACCGTCAAAGTTTCTATGACGTAGCTGTCATAATAGAATGAATATATTTTATTGTGTATTCACTTTAAAACATTAAAATGTAATTAAAGGACAATGTTAAAATTGGCCTAAGAACCAACACCAATTTGGCATTTATGATAATTCTTAGTATATTTTTTGCGATAATTATCAGTATTTAGATTGTGACGGACACTTCCAGTTAAGTAAGGTAAATTAAAAAGTTAATAAATAATCTGCGACAATAAATACCATTTTATGTATATAATCTATGACAGCACTGCAAACAAAAAACACTTTCTCCCTAATGCCGGCACTTCACTTGGCTATTCGTATTAGCTATTTAAAAACATGACATCAGTGTGTCCTTTTCATTCCTCGTTAAGCATGACAAGGACAAACTGTTGTCAAGTGAAGGGCTGGCATAAACTCGAAACTCTGTGGTTGTGGTTCAGGCAGTTTGCATTCGTAGTAACCATTATGTGACATTCGTGCATTCTCGTCAAAGAGTACTTTTCTTATACGGAAAATTCTCGTTCGGATTACCTGTTGTGTGTTTTATTTGCGATTGTTTTTCCTTTAATTTAACTACTTATTACAATTTGGGCATCTAATATGCCATCGATGTTACCAAAGAGCAGAGACCTTATTACTAAGTGCTAGTGAACCTGTGCCACACCATCCTGAGAGGATCATATTGCCAAATTATTCAAGAGCACCTGATACACATTCACGATGCATATTTACACAATATACATGTGTTAAACAAATAAATACAACATGATACTATTATATGAAAAACTATTGTTTTTATTTTATTCATAATTCCTATCTAACCAAGTTTTTCCTAATAGTTATTCTTTAAAATCGCACCGAATAAAACGAATTGGTTGTAATATTAATTCACTTCATACTGAGTTCATACTAAATTCATAGGTTGACCTATGTTTCATTGAATATTAAATATAACCTCAAAAAAATTTTAGTTTTCCTAATAATTTAAGTTCTCAGAAGTGTCCGTCAATAATCTTTGTTTTGACAGGCATTTACTTGCAATTTCGAAAATAAAAAATAATATTTCATGATTGTTGGTTCTTAGGCTAACTATGTATGGACACAGAACAATATCCTTTAAAATTAAAGAAATTTTAGGGAGGCTCCTATACAACAGACGTGATTTTTTGTCGTTCTTTGGTCGACATTAAAATATAATGTGTAATTTTGTATAGATAATTGTACAGCAAGTCGTCTTTGTACGTAATCTTGCCGGCTCTTCTCAGTACAAGGTCACCCGTCGTAAAACTCTTAACCGAAGTCGTAGCTTTTAGACATTCATTCATAAGTGCTTGTAAAAATACTCGTAAATAACAGCCTAATCGAAAAATATTATTTATTCATACAGATCGGTGCTTACTGCTACGCCGAGCTGGGCACCATGATCAGGCTGAGCGGCGCCGACTACGCCTACATCATGGAGACATTTGGACCGTTCGCCGCCTTCGTCCGGCTGTGGATAGAGTGCATGATCGTCAGACCTTGCTCACAGGTTATTATTATAGTTTACTAGTGTGCCCCGCAGTGTTACCCGCGGTTTATTACGGATATTTTCCCACTAAAAAATTAGAAAAAATATGACTCTGCCAATGTGTCATTGCTGCACTAACCTTTATTATTACGATCCGTTATGTTGCATTATTAATTAACAAAAACTGTTCGTTAATTGTTTTTGTCCGATTTTAATAGCGATTACGGCACCTTTTAATTTTGTCATTTGAAATATATAAATATATTTAGTAGTCTTCCATCACGATTAGGTACATTTCGGATCTCCAAAAATAGATTTAATAAGTATCTCTACTAATTAGGTGCGGATGTTACATAATTATGGGTAAGTACCTACTTAGGGCCGTTATTATTTTTCGTATTCTATTACTTTGTGTAACGAGGGCTTATATAACATTTCTCTTGCTACCCTAAGGGGCTCATTAATGTGGTATTTTGTTTTAATTCCGATCTAACAAGCGCTGCCTGAAGGCAATTTGAATCTATATTAGGAGTAAGCCGAATACAAGGAATATTATGGTAAGTAATTTGCGTTGAAAATATTTACAGCTAGGGATGTTCCCTTGAGGGGAAGCTGTCGAGTCAAAAGTACAACGCATTTGTTTTGATGAGACCGTAAATGATTCTTCATGGTAATTCATAATCACTCTTCCTATTTACATGCGACACTTTACTTAAAGTGGCGTAGATTAAACTAAATATATCCCTATTAAAAACCGAATTTATAAAAACAAAATCACTTTTAGCAATAGAACTTTTATTACCGACTTCAAAATGAATTAATAGTTTAAAAAAAAAACAAGAAAAACACGCTTTTATAAATGCACGTAGAAACCAAAAATAAATTATGGATCGTTTAAGATTTCTGGGCTGAAGTGTAAACTATAATATTTAATTGTAAAAGCAAAGGGTACTGGAACAGGAAAGACTTTTTGTATAACTTGCTGAGAAATGTTAAACATTTCGTTTCTGAAATTAACTCGGATGGACGGTTTGTTGATTTCATACATTTGGTCGCGTTTAGAGTGCGGCCAGACGATGTCCGAAATGAATCCGATACTCCCATTCACTAGCCCCCTTCTCCAAGTCTATATTGCAACGCAACATGATTTTAGCCCCTTTGAAAATTCTTAATTTACTCGGTAGTCCACCCGTTTTATTTATATCGCTGGGAATAATGGACTTCAGTGAAGTATTTTTTAAGGTTTCAGGTCGCGCAATAAGTTGGTCTTGAGCTTTTATGTCGTACATTCGAGTACCTTTCGTTCATAAAAGTAAAAAACTTCATTGTTGTGCTTCTCTACTTGGTCGTTTGTTGAAACTCGCCGGTAGCATTTGATGAGACCTTAGCCATCAATACTGCGAGATGCTCGCTGTCCAGCTCTCCGACCCTCAAGGCGTTCAAGCGACATGATATTATTAACCACCCTTAACATGCCATTCAGCCCTCGGCACATTTCTCACCTTGGCTTGGGTGGGATCTTTAACAACCTACTACCCTATTTACACGTCAATATACATCGTATATAGATATATAAATATTATTCTATTTACACTCTCCATGCACAGGTCTATACATATTTTATACAGGCACCTACGTCAATATTTACACGATTTACACTTAATATTTATAAGTCTATATAATAGGTTTGTTATAACCTTGAAACCTGATCGTGTTGAAAGTCCATTACGTGTTCTTTCTCACAAGTGCAAACACAACTGATACGATATTCCATCATGCAATGCCAGTGTCTATCTTCCGGCTTCATCATCAGACATGGAAACCTATCCTATCACATCAGTTAGTCAGTATGATATTATTGTATTGAAATCTATGAACTACATACAGCTGCCAATTTTTATTACGCTACGATCCTTGAAAGATGGTTAAATTAGTTATCTTAGATTCCATTACATAATTGGTTACATACAGGTCGACCTAATAAAAACGTGTTAAAAAGGAGGAAACATAATCGTCGTTTATCCGCTATTTTAGTTAATTGTGAACCTTGTTCTTCTTGTTTAATTCCCCCATATTCGGCCTTCTTAGGCCCCAATAATCTTCGTTACGTATATTGTTTTTTATTTAGTTTGAATTTAATTCCACCAAGGCCACTCCAAAAAAGTCGAGAAAAGTCCAGCAGAAATCTCGTATGAGGAACAACAATTTTTGTTATGTACAAATTTAGTTCAGCACCATTTGAATTACTATAAGTATTCCTTACGTTATGTATTTTGTAAATTACTGTTTATTTATCCACTAGACTACCTACATATTTTTGATGCGTAACATCTTTCCTCTCGCTTTCCTGCTGTTTGTGGGAGTGATTTCGTGAAATGGGGCGGAAGTGTGTAACAGGAAGTCGCAAAAGCGCGCGCTATTTGATTTGATTTTAAAACATAATGTTCAAATAGCTTATTCCTTTTGTAGTAGGTTTTATTTCTTTTTTTACTAATATAAGGTGAGGTTTCAAATGTTACACATCATACGCGACTACTGTAAGGCTCGCTCGTTTTTTTAACTTTATACCTAGGTATTTTCTTACAGTTTTATATTTATACTATAAAATACTTACAATATCAAGCTTACTGTTGGCGATTTACTTATTTGAGCCTTAGATTAAAAGAAAAAGGGTAGATACGGTACGCTCATATAAACATTAAATAAAATATAATCCGACTCAACTACATAAGCGACTCTAACACACGCACACTTCTGTATATAAACATTCAATCGAGCGAGCGAGACAGAACTACCCCTAGCACGAACCATTATCGAATTCGAATAGTTTGCGAGTGCTAAATGTCAATGTCAAATTTTGTATGGAAACTTGAACAGCAGCACCATAAAGTACGTAACGAGAACTAAAAATCAGTACACATTTGACAATGAGATTTTCAACTCGCAAACTTTACGAATTCGATATTGGTTCGTGCTAAGGGTACTACTACACTTCAACGCAGCGCGAGCGAACCGGCGAGTCCGCTTCCGAGTCCGTACGGCTGAGCTGTATTTCTGTCCTTTTCTTGATAACAAAATGGCGATTACGTTAATAACATTCTCGACAAACCGTGATTTTTGAGAAAAAAATGTTTTTACAGTTTTTTGAATGAAAAGTGTTGTCGAGGCATTTGTTATTTGATTTTGAACTATTTGAGTTTTTTATAAAAGCATCGAAGGCATTGTTTTATCTTTATAACACAATATTGTTATATTTAGTGCACATGCAGTGTGTTTGAATGTCAAATTGTGACTAAAGCGAATTGTGGTCATGCACCACAATTTAAGCGGATCACTTTTGAGCCGTTAGTGCCGTATCTTTCCTTTTTGTTTTAATCTAAGATTTGAACCCCCTCTACCGATGGCGACCATCTTGCTACCATCGCACTGTTTACAAAATTTGTATAAAAAGTTATGCTCCCTAGGTCGTCCAATATCAATCACGTCAGAATATGATGATAGGATCCCGGAGAACGAAAAAAAATCATCAGAGGGTAAATAGACAGGAAACTATAAAAAATACAATAATTAGATTTTATACCTCTATTTTTAATAGAGTTCCCTCGATTTCTCCGGGATCCCGTCATTAGATTCTGAATCGGGACGATCTCGGCAGCATAACCTTTCACAAAAAAAAGATGAAAATCGCTTCACAATTAGAATTTTTTTAATGGAGATTTGATTGATTCCTATTTTTTATATAACACTATATTATTATATTATAGAAGTTCAACGACTCGATACAATACAATGGTTTGATGTCGATATTGATGAATAAGATCTTATTCATGTTTACGGTAAGAATATTATATATTTGATAGTGAATTTTCTATTTGTTGTGGCTTGTGGAGCAATGAACTTTATACAGGGTGTAAATAGACCCCCGACACTGCCGAACACAAAGCATTCTACTATAGGTCAAACCAAGAAACTTAGTAAAACATTATTGGTGCTGACTTTTAAAAGCCAGTTTTGGTTAAGAAATACTTAAAAAAAATATGTAATTTGGACAGAAATTAAGAATCAAAAATTTTTTTTAGTTTAAAATGGGTTTTAGTAAAAAAATCACATTGTTCTTCAATAACTTCATAACTATTTATTTCCCAAGTAGGTACAAAAATGGTCCTGATGATGGGTAGAATACGTGGTTTTCGGTTATTTTTAAGGTCTTTTTACACTCTGTATGTATGCGATTCAACTCGGTCCAGCCATCATCGGGATGAAATCGTACCAACATATTTCGCTATCCAGGCGCATACAAGACCTTTTCCGACGTGTCAAATTTTATTAATACTTTATCTTATAATGCAAAGCAACACAGCCTCTTTGCATTGTAGGTTATGTACGTTATTAAAGCATGAAACTGTGAAAAGAAGATAGGAAGATAGATAGGAATGTAATTTTATATTAAACCTTAAGGCCGAGTTTAATTGTTGCTTGCTATATCTTTTGATATAAGAATCAAAAGCCTCAATAACGTACAAAATAGCCCACATACCTACTATTTGGGTCACTCAACGTATGGCCCGGCAACCTTCGTACTCAATCGTTTCGTAATCCGTAAAATACGTATTGATTTCATCGGATAATATAAAGCTTTCATGGAATTACCTAATCCTATTATATAACTTAATTTTGTTCTTCGGTAGTTATTCCAGCAACGACGTAAATCCCTGAGAAGCAAATAGATGTTTGCCTGACAAAGCAAATTATAACAATGAAAATTAATTTATTTTTTTGATGAATAAATACTCAAATACTTTTAAAGATCCTTTCTCAATCATTAACGTTATGAAGAAGAACGTTAAGAAATGAATGAGTGTGTTGTGTATAAAGAAAATGCTATTGTTTATCACTATACACTGAAAAAAGTATTCTACAAACAAAACATATTTGAGTTAACCGATGAATAATCAATCTTTGTTTAATAATTAATAAATTTTAGTTACTTATAGACCAACCAATCAACCAACCAACTGTTCTGTTGGATTTTACATTAAAATTTCAGTTAATTGAGTTTAGTTAAAATCTACTAAACCATTTTGTTATATGCTGTCAAATTTCATTTTGGTAATCTGTTACATAACAATGTATTGTTATAATGAAATACACTTGAGGTGATTGTTTACATAGAGTTGGCCTAACTACAACTATTTTACTGCTACTTATGAGCAAGCACAAAAACCACTTTGAATAACTCAATAGTGATGTAACTGTTAGCCAAAAAATTCGGATACATATTTCAAGTACGTATTTTTCACCCCTGTTCAGCAACCCCCAGTACTTATTTGTTAGTAACAAGTACGTAGAGGGTTTTAAAGTAGAAAAGTACTTTTGCAGGTAAGATATAATTTATCAGAAAATTATGTTGCAGAGAACAAAAAAGTTTGGTTAACAAAACAGTTTTGTAAATTTTACATAACTGTTTTGTCATAACAACAAAGGAGTAGATAATGTAAACCCGTAACATTAAGTGGTCTATTTTACATGACTGTTTTGTTGTCAGCAGATTACATTAAGTAATTAACTCGGAGCACTTTGATAAGTAGTAATACAAAAAATAGTTTAAAAGTAACTCTTTTTGTTGAGCTAAAGTTAATTAATCGTCGTCTACTAGGTGACTGAAAACTTTTTCAGTATAAGCTAAAATTAATAATATCTAAACTAAGTTATTATTTGTAGTAATAATAGAGACAAAAGCCTACTTTACCATAATGTGTTTGCATGGTCTGATCCCAATAAGCAGTAACCTCATTTACGAATGTGTAGACCCAGTATATATAAGTACTCTTTGGCGTAGACTTGCTATATTGGCTTGGCACTCACTGTGGTACACAGATCTGTAACAAATTGAGTTGTATTGCTGTGTTTTATGAGGATGTAGAATCCAGGGGTTAGTGTAGCGAATCAATTTTATTTTATTCGCAAACACATATACAGGATTGTGTGGAATTGATGATATTGAATTGAATTGAAGCCCAATAAGGTATAAGGAGTTTGTAACAAATTGAGTTGATATAAATTTTCCTACAGTTACGAAAGTCTTTATTTTTATTGTTTTTATTTTTCATTTATCTACCATTATTTACAAATACTGATAATCTTATAAAAAAATTGAGAATACCTAAGAGTTAAGAGTAGGGCTGCCATCTGTAAATTGAGGCAACCAGGACAAGACGCGTGATAACCCCGGATTTTGGAGCCAAAAACCCGGACAGACCAATAAAAAAGCAGTTAAAAATGTCACAAATCAACTTTTTTTATGTTGATGTAGGCAAAAGAGCTAGCTGTCCACATGATAATAAGTGGTCACTGCTGCCCATGGACACTTGCAGCACCAAGGGCCAATCATGCGTTGCCGGCTCTGAACGAAAAGGTTCATCCGCCATTTTAAGATTACCATATTACTAGCAAACCAGTGAACCAAATGTTCACAAAAAAAATGTATTTAATTAATTGAGAACTTTGGAGATTTTGTGTGGTTTCGTTTGAAATAGAAATCACGTGATTTCTCGAAAACCGGAAGTGCTACGTTACTCAAATCCGGTTTGTAGTCTTATCAGACTATTCTTAACTTATAACTTAAACATTCTCTTTATCTATCTCTTACGGTTTGGCCGCTGAAACAGCACCACGGACGGACGGACGGACGGACGGACTTGTCTAATAGATAAGAGATAGCTATAAGAAAAAAATACTGAGGGAAGTTCGTTCCAGATCTTGCTGGTACGCAAAAGAAAGGAACACATGGTGCTCGAACGCCAGGCGCCCAGATGGTGGGCGTGAACTTCTCTGCGGTGTGTGATGCTGTGAAGAAGCTTGGCCACTGGCATCCGGTTGAATAATTCCTCGGAATACTCTCCATTGTATAGACGGTACAACACGTACAAGGAGTTGCGTCCTTGTGCGTGTTGTACCGTCTGCGTAGTTAAGGGGTTGCAACGCGAGTGAGCTCAGGATCATCGATAAGTCAAACTGCTCGCTTTTGCTTCCGGTCAAGAGGAAGGAGCTGGTATTGGGGTGCTCCAGCCCAGAGGACCAGTACTTTGTATAATAACACCCGATATTTAGGCTTGAGGTACTTAACTATATCTATTCAGCACCCAAGCTTTTTCACACACACATGATGTCTTTGCTGGGTTAATCCAATAAAATTTTGTTGGCTCCAATTTGAGACTTGATCCAGTAACATCTCAATCTCGGACACAAGTCTGTCTTTACACCCTTCTACCTCCATCCGAGGGATGTTTGACCGACCAGTGTAAAAATTATCGAATTCGAATAGTTTGCGAGTCCGAAATGTCACGAATTCGATATTGGTTCGTGCTAGGGGTACTGATCTTTGTAGGAAGTCAGCATTTACCGTTACAATGTTAGAATAGATTGATTTATTTTCAAAGACATACTAACGGATCAATTGACGATCAAAAACAGAAAATTTATAAACCCGGACTACAAATGAAACCCCGCCCGGACGCTCCCCGGACACCCTGTAAACTAGGACAAATCCGGGGAACAGCCCTACCTAAGAGGAACACTGAAATGAAATAAAATGAAATGTCATTTATTCAGTCTAGGCTGTTACAAGCACTTGTGAAGGTCAAGAAGCTACGCCATCGGTTCGCAAAACTACGGCGGAAGACCTTGTACTGAGAAGAACCGGCAAGAAACTCAGCAAGGGCTGTTTTTTTCTCCCTGTATTGTTATATACAGTGTCGTCAAAGACATACTAACGGATCAATTGACGATCAAAAACAGAAAATTTATAAACCCGGACTACAAATGAAACCCCGCCCGGACGCTCCCCGGACACCCTGTAAACTAGGACAAATCCGGGGAACAGCCCTACCTAAGAGGAACACTGAAATGAAATGAAATGAAATGAAATGTCATTTATTCAGTCTAGGCTGTTACAAGCACTTGTGAAGGTCAAGAAGCTACGCCATCGGTTCGCAAAACTACGGCGGGAGACCTTGTACTGAGAAGAACCGGCAAGAAACTCAGCAAGGGCTGTTTTTTTCTCCCTGTATTGTTATATACAGTGTCGTCAAGTTGAAAAATTACTTCAGAAATACGTCTGAAGTCACTTTCCATTACATCATCTAGAATATAAATATGTAGTTACAATTAATTTTATAGTTAACATTTTAAGTAGTATATAGGAAGCGGCATTAGATTGGTACAATATTACTGTTATGAAAAATGAGTAATACCCATTTAATATCAAATTATAAGAAACACTATGTCCATGCATTACGATCATTTAGATAATCATCAACTTTATAATAGCCCTTATTCATAAGAGTATTTTTGATCTGAGATTTAAATTTAGTCAGTGGAAGCTCAATCAGATCTTGGGGAACTTTGTTAAACAATGCAATACTACAACCCAGAAATGAACCTCTTGATTTTTGGAGTCTGAAGTATATAAAACATTATTACTGATAATTTGATTATTTTATAATTAATATGACATAAATAATAATAGATGTTTCATTCATGTTGGCATTTTCTATTGTTGCAGGCGATAGTAGCTCTAACATTCAGTGTGTATGTGCTGAAACCGATATTCCCTGAATGTGACCCGCCCGAGGATGCCACCAGGCTGCTGGCGGCCTGTTGTATATGTAAGCTGTCTTTAAATTGTATAAATATACATCATCATCCGCCTTTTGTCACCACTGCTGGGACGCTGAATTCTTCCACGGTAATATTATCTATACAGTATTGTGACTCGGCCCTGTCCATGAAATAACTGCCTGCGGCCGAGCGCGGCGTAGACACGCGATAGGGCTACCCGCCTACAGTATTTTAATTTCATCTACATAATTGAGTTTCTTTCTAGTTTTGTGATTGTAAATCTTTATTTTATATGTAAAAAAAATGTTTTGAATGAATTAGGAAGTGTTCAATAAAATACATGATATTTTTAGGTAATATTTAAGGGAATATTTTTAACTTGGTTATATACACCTGCAGCTACTTTACAATTGATATGTTTTTTATTGGGTGCGTTATTGAAGAGGTTAAGAAACCAAAATCAGCACAATATCGACTATTGCTCTTTGCCATATTAAATTATGATAATATTACCGTGACTCTCCTATTAAATGGACACACTACTTTACACTTATGGAAAACGGAACTTAAGTAACCCGCCGTCGATTCCTTAGGCAAATCACATTAGAGAATACCATGAAATCTTTGACATACTGGACATTTCCGGGTGGCTCGCTAACGATTGCAAGTGAATCACTATATGATGATAATTATTATTAGAAGGTTATTTTTGAATGAGGAATTTTGAGTATAGGTACCATTAGATTAAAGGCGTCAAACTATTGTGTTGATGATTCTTACAAAAACTGCGACCACAAAATCAAAAGTAAAACTGCTCTTATCCTTCTACAAGGTACTTAATCAATTACCTAAACTTACCGACTTTAATTTTGACGACATGTATCATACAATTCTTACTCTACCCCCTTCATTTATGTATATAAACCCCCCAAGGCCATCGGCTGGCGACGCCCTTGCGCTATGGTTACATATTTCGTTGATTGTGGTAGACAGTTGAAATTAAAAGGATGGGTCTTCAGAATCGCGTTCTCAATGTAATTTCCATGTTATTTTTGTAGCCGATTCTCTGCTTTACTTTGTGCTGTGAATGCACCCGTTTTGCTACACACATTGTTTATTCCTACAGTGCTGCTGACCTTCGTGAACTGCTGGTCCGTCCGGGCGGCCACGAGGGTGCAAGACTGGTTCACGTACGCGAAACTGCTCGCCCTGTTCATCATCATCGCTGCCGGCGCTTACCAGCTCTGCCGAGGTGAGTAGATGTGTAACAGGCGCTTGCAAATTATGTCGACACCTAGCTTGCGCCTCGCGATTGTAATCAAATCATTTTAACAGATTGTTTGAAATATAAAATAGTATGATAGTTTATACTATATTATAAGTAGATATATCCCTGGCCAGTCTTATGAATCAGGCCCAAGTGATTAAATGGCGTATTGTGCATCATTAATACAACGGATTTACAAGATTAGTTCATATGTCGACTATGAGTGCAATCTTTAGTGATGAAACTTTAGATATCAATAACTTCAAAACTGAACGGAAATTTCATGAAATTTTTATTTATTGTACCTAATGTAATACATTAAGCAGTCTCACTGTGTTGTTCACTGAACCCTATATCCTCCCTCTGTCCGATGCTCTAGTACCCTTACAGCAGGAATACAACTCAATGAAATAATGTCATTAGTTTGCAGTCTTCTGTGAAACCCGCTGTCACATTTAGGCTAATGTGTTTATCGTGTTGGGGTAGTGAGTAATACTTATCACTCTACATAACGTATTGTTAGTATTGACGGACGATCAATATTGGCCTATGAAATAATGTCGATTTATTGTACAAAACCTTAGCACGCTAGCAACTCAAAGTTATTTTGTAAGCATGGATAATATAATACTATAACCACATCATCATCAGCCTATTATTGTCCCTAGCTGCTGGGACACCAGCTGTGCCTGTGGTTTGAATTAGGGAGAACGGGCTATGACCACCACGCGGGCCACCACCACTGCAAATTGCTAACTGCTAACGACTGAAGATGGTAACAGGGACAGACGTCCTTAACTTGCGTTCTGAGCTCCGGCTATATTTTTTTATAAACCGTCTATGACCAGCTTAACCACTGCGATACTAAGTCTCTTTAACTTAGCCGAGGTCATAATGATCCGGCGCAATATGTTCAGCGGGCCTTGACGGGCTCTTTGCAAATTGAGCAAAAATCTGCTACAATCCTACCCTTTTCGACCTCTTTTAAATTGTAAGATCTGCTTTGCGTTTATTATCGTAAGTATGTTACCTGCCTATGCGATTGTTATGACGCAATTTCTTGGGCATGACCCCTGATGCGAATTGTATAAACGTTATCGAACTCACGTCAATACTACGTAAGAGCTTAGGTATACTAGATTACTATTATATTTATTAATGAGATACTATGGAATCTTTAGGTACTATTGACGAAATATGTATCGTAATAAGCAGTTCAAGCTTAAGGTAACTAAATATGGGAATCTGACCGTAACAGCACCATTTAGTAATACAAAACTTTCTCAAACGAATTTTTAATTGTAACTTGTTCTACGTTCTTGTTTGCAATTAAAAAGTTACACACTTTGTGATCCCCTCGTGTGATGTTGATAGTACAAAAGCGTGTAATGTGTGTTTGCACAAATGTTATTGCAGCATTCTGTATCTGTTTAACTTATATTATTATAATTCATTGTCAGTTGCCTTTGCTTATGTTGTACGCCTCTATGGCGTTGTTAAACGAAGTAAAAAGTATAACAGGTATAAACCATCCCACTAATAACATTTTCATGTAATATGTAGCCAAGACCAGACGCGAACTGTCAAAAAGTTATCAGATCTCATATAGAGCCAAGTTTGTAACTCTAGCAGGCCTAATTTCATATATAAACCTTAGTTAAAATATGTATGTAGCTTGGCTATTTCGCTACATTCACATGGGCGTAAGATGAAAAATTTATCAACTGTTCATTACTTTTCTGTTACACAATAGATCTTATAATTTCGACACACTTTAGAATTTATAATATTAGTATGGATTTTCGTTTTTCTTATACTTATTCAATGTTTTAGAAAACTACGGCATAGCAAATAAAATTATACCTACGCTCTTCTCTTTTTCCTGGCACAAAAACCCTAAATAAAATCGGACTGATGTGCGATCATGTAACGGCCTTTCAACTAGGAATAGTCCAGGGAAATCCGGACAAGGAACCTACATCGCCACTGCCTCAAGGAGGGCACATCCCAGAGCTTTTAGTGGTAAGGGCTCCCCATCGCATCCCGGGCAGCCATTGAGTTGGTCGTATAGGCTGATTTATAGGGGTGGACGGGATGAAAGCAGAGGAAGCCCCGGCGCTATACCCAGCGGCGATGTATTCGTCAGCCACTTTCTCTGGGTGATAAAAAAAATGGCAGCTCATACGATACCATAATAACTAACAGCGGTTGTAGGGACTTATTTAAATATTAGAATCGGAGACAATAAACAATGAATTTTTGAGTCTAATATTTTGCCCAAAAACAATTAATAGTGAATTTATTAAGTCCGATATAAGTTTCCGGAAACACAGAACATGTTGATCGGCAACAATTGCGATGGGATTTCAGCTCATAGCCGACAGTTGGAGCGTGTACCGAATTTTTGAATTGGAAAAACCCTCATCAAAAGCGGTCCATTAGTTTAGAAGTACGATGCCAGAGACAGACAAGTAAACTTATTAAAACACCCCTGTTTTTGAATCGGGGATCTAAAACTTAATACCTAGTTAGCGAATTCCATGTTTTCACTCACAGGCGAGCATAATATTACATTTGAAATATTCAGTAACTTGATTTCGGGCATTTTATTTTAATTATTTATGGAAATGTCATTGGCAGCAGCACAGTTACCCCGTTCAGGGTTGGCTGTCATAGTCACTCACAGGAAGAAATAACGCGGAAATGGGGAAAAGCTTTGCACATCTTCCCGATGCGTTCAATAGGCGGTAGGAGCGATTCAATTTGTCCGAGAAATTGGATCTTTTATGCCGAGCATTATTGTTTACGCATGGGTATTAGATGACTCATTTAGTATGTTCTGGTATTGATAATCATAAAACTCAGACTGTATTTTGTTTGATTTGCTCGATTGAACTTTAATGAGCAATCATTTTTACCATAAATGCAAGTCGGACCACGATAAGTCTGTAGTGGACTGACAGTAGCAAAAATTTAAACTTTGCACATGGCAGTACTGATTATAGTTAAATTAACTTTCCCTGATACTTTATTATTAACCAATTTAAAAAGGAAGAACTTCTTAATTATATATTTAAATTGTTGTTCGCATATTTATGGGCCGATTTCGATGATTCAGTTTTAGGGTTCCGTTCTCAAAGTGTATAGTGTGTTCGTACCGTATATAGATCGTAAATGGAATGAGTTACAGTACTGAAATTATGGCATTTTATGTGGAGTGCTTGCCCAAAGCCGAATTTAATGGGGGGTCTCATACACGTGCTAATATTAGGATATACTAGGAAACTCTAGAATTAGTACAGTACAGTACATATATTCTGTTTCATTATTTTAAGAAAAATGAAACAGCTAATTCCAGCTCATAATAATTGCTCCTAGCATAGTATACACAGTTAGTCGAAGACACACAGTTTTTGGCTTATAAATGTAAAAATTAAAAAACACTTTTTTGTCAAAAATTATATAAGCGATATATCCGAAATCGATTTTGATGACTCTTATTTTACCATTACGTATATAAAATAAAAAGATTTTTTCTCAAAAATTGATAACTACTCTGTTAATTACTGAGAAATCGAACCGAATCCAAAACTTTAATTCCATCATATTAAACGTCCTCGTTAACTTTCTTTTCTTCTTGATATTCAACGACTCCTTACATATTCAATATCTCTCCCTTCATATTCAACCTCATTTCTTTCTCTTATGTGATCAACTCTACAAAGCATTTCCTATCATTATACGATCATCTGCAGATAAAGTGCCTATAAGAAATACATTTTTTGCTAAGTGTAATGCAAAACTGTTGGGAATAAAATTACTACTACAAATTAATATGTTTTATGAACTTTGTTTTTTATGCAATAAATACTATGAAACAAGTGTTCGTCCACAATTAAAACAATAGTTTACTTTGGTAGTTTACCAATTACACAGCATAATGCGACTCAGTGGCGCACAATGCCGAATTATGCTGCATAATTGGAACGTGAATTAGTTTGCAAATTCACCAGCAGAGTGCGCTAAGTCAATGTTTGTACCTTTATCCATACTTATATTTATTTGTAAACACAGTTTGAATTAACTTTGATTATTTTAAAAAAAACTACAATGAAATTTTTTATGTAATATACATTTTTATATAATATGAATTTTTCAACAATAAATAATATTACTAACGATAATATTTAATAAAACATTTCGATCAATGCCAACTTAAAGAAAAAACACTTGTTAATTTTCTGTTACTGAGTTGGTAGGTTGCACGCATCACACGAAAACATTGGTAGGTTGCACGCATCACACGTAGCTGTTGAAATGTAAATAAAAAATGGTAATAAAAAACAAACCAGTATCAAGAAATTAATTGCAACTCACTCGTTGAGGTTAGGATTTCTTCATAACATTGCTCTTTTTTCATAAGAATCGACTCCATTTGTTCTTTTGCAGATTTATTATGACTTATTATTTAATAAATAACTTCTCCGATTCCAATTTCCTCTCTGTTATTCACTCCACAAACAAAAACATTTCAAAAAATGTTTTTCAAACGAGAGATTCTTGCATGACATGAAATATATGTCATTTTTGAATGATGTCTTAAAGTGGCCAGATTATTGACTCTGCAAAGTTATCTTGATTCGACTATTGCTGTCACATAATTGCCATCTAATCGCCACCACAGACTTAGATGAGGGCTATTCTAGGCGACAGCGAGTCCAACGAAGCAAAATGAACTATATTGAATTTGAGGATCCGTTAGGAACTGTTGTGGTAGATATACCTACATACAATTCGCCCCGAATAACCTTGTTTTAACCTTCCGCTTGACCAAAAGGTCACTCACACACAAATAAATTTGCTCTCTCTAAATCAAGACCCACGAGGCGAAATTACCAAACCCCCAATCCTAAACCGATCTTCTTGCCAGGAAGGCGTTGGCGAACCAGACTCCTCTATTAGATGATTGTCGCAATCCGCTCCTC